AAAGACAAACTCTAAATACTGTGGTACGTTAGAATGGTCTTGTACTACGAAGTATAAACATGTTCAGTTCAACGTATGGATCCATGTTCATTTGGGAGGTAGAAAATGAAAAATTTTGCATAAACAGCGATGTCGTACAATTGGTTACTATTCATTGGTGACTTTGGTATACCTCCTACAATTGATTAAGATTCAAACTTCAAATTTAAAACCCTCGAACAACCTCACCTTCCGCATGTATTATATTTTTCAAACAATTTTAAAATTTCACAAATACATTTTATTTGGTTTTCAACTTTATTTGGATTTAATTTGAGCTCATCTTTCCCTAAAGTCAACTATTAACTCCAAGGTATTACTAGATCTATTTTAATTAATTAAACCATCTTGCATTAGTTTATTTAAATTAGACCAAGGGTTTCAAACTTATGATCGAGTTGTGTTTGAATTATATTCCAATATCATTTGGATTTCCTAAAGTCAACTAATAACTAAAGTCCATATTATAGTTTCGGAATTCATTTGTTTTTTGTATCATAATTGTCTTATTACACAATTTTTATTTCAAATTTAACCAATGTAGATTTAATTTCTATTTGAATTTTTGCCTCTTATGTATTATGTTTAAAATATATTTTTAAATTATTCACATATGAACTAAAGTGTTTTGAGATGAAACTATATTTCTCTAGGCTCAATTTGCAAAAAAGAATCAATGTATTTAGATTTTTAATTTGCAAGTCATGCCCTATTTAAGTTTGAATTCATTCTATTTGAATTTAAATTTTAAATTATCCAAAAGTGAAATATTTCTGGACAGGGTGAATGTACATTTCACGAGGGTCATTTTGCAAAATGAATCACCGAATTTGGATATGTAGATAATTAGTTATGTGTGTTTTAATTTCAGGAGGTTTTCTGTAAAATTTTGTTTGGGCAATTTGGACATACAATTCCTGCACCTATATTTCCCATTCGAATTTGAATTTGGTTTAAAAACTAAATGTGTTTAAAATTCAGTTTAGAAAAATGCCAGAGGGTCAAGCTCATTGTTCGGATTTGTGGAACTCATCTTCCTGCCAAAATAATTGCAAAGCCATTTTAAACAATTTCCCTTTGATTTTTGAATTGTTTCCAAAATGAATCAAATTTAAGTCATATTAAAATTAATTGGCTTGGATATTCTTGGGATTTATTAAGGTTAGCCTTGTGCCGAATAATATTTCAAATGGTTTGGTTTCTAAATTAGCCTAGAAAAACGCATCAGGCCGTATATACGGATGGAGAGAGTATTTCTAATTATCTGTAGGGCTAATTAATTTGTCTGCCTAATTAATAAATTGCATTAATGACTTAGTTTTAAAATTGATTTGATGCAAAAAAATTCCTATTTAAATGTACCTAATTAATTGCATTACTCTATTTCCATTTTTTGCATTAATGGTTGTGGGCGAACGGCACGTACATATTCTTCCCTAATAATAGAGATTCGACGTGAAAAAAATCTATTTTTAAATGAACCTAATTAATCTCTACTCCTAATGGAGCAGTTGGTAGTCTCGCTTCCAGGTTTTTTTTCGTCCCATCACTTTCGTCCGGTTTTTTTTCGTAGGTTAACCGTCGTAGATTTTTTTTGATGCTGCTTTCTTATTCACCGGTTTATTTACCCCTCAGCTCTTTCCTTGCAAATCAGCACTTTCCAAACGTGCACGCAATCACGGATCTAAATTTACTAACTTATGCAAATCAACCGATACCTTCCATTATTGCAAATTTCTTTAGGAAACAAATAATAGATTTTAAGGAAACAAATAAAAGATTTTAAAGACGCATCATACTTTACTAACAATCACTAAAAATCGAATCTAAATTAATTAACCTTACCTTAAATCACTCAATCACTTTAATTAGAAAACATTTTCTTTCCTAACTGCAGTTGGTAGTCTCGCTTCCAGGTTTTTTTTCGTCCCACCACTTTTGTCCGGTTTTTTTCGTAGGTTAATCGTCGTAGATTTTTTTGATGCTGGTTTCTTATTCACCGGTTTATTTACCCCTCAGCTCTTTCCTTGCAAATCAGCACTTTCCAAACATGCACGCAATCACGGATCTAAATTTACTAACTTATCCAAATCAACTGATACCTTCCATTACTGCAAATTTCTTTAGGAAACAAATAATAGATTTTAAGGAAACAAATAAAAGATTTTAAAGACGCTTCATACTTTACTAACAATCACTAAAATCAAATCTAAATTAATTAACCTTACCTTAAATCACTCAATCACTTTAATTAGAAAACATTTTCTTTCCTAACTGCAGTTGGTAGTCTCGCTTCCAGGTTTTTTTCGTCCCACCACTTTCGTCCGGTTTTTTTTGTAGGTTAATCGTCGTAGATTTTTTTCGATGCTGGTTTCTTATTCACCGGTTTATTTACCCCTCAGCTCTTTCCTCGCAAATCAGCACTTTCCAAACATGCACGCAATCACGGATCTAAATTTACTAACTTATCCAAATCAACCGATACCTTCCATTATTGCAAATTTCTTTAGGAAACAAATAATAGATTTTAAGGAAACAAATAAAAGATTTTAAAGACGTATCATACTTTACTAACAATCACTAAAAATCAAATCTAAATTAATAACCTTACCTTAAATCGCTCAATCACTTTAATTAGAAAACATTTTCTTTCCTAACTGCACCCCGCTTAGTGTGCACATAACAATCCGAAGTAATTAGAGTCACATGATTGAATCCATTTATTTAGAGCGACATGATTGAATTCATTTATTAACAATAATCCTCACCAAAAGTGCATTTAGCAATTTTAGAGGGCGGACCAAAACTCTGCCATCCGCTCGCCCGCGTTTGTTTAGGTACAGGAAAAAATGGCATAATATATGGAAACAACACGACCGGGGCGGCGGCGCAATCTTCAGGGATAGGGGATCGGAGGAGAAGGATTGGCCTGGCAGCATGATCGGGGTGCTTCCCCACGGCCGCGGCCGTCCTCGCGATGCCACCTACCCGAAATCAACGTTGCTCCCTGCCGTCATCCGAGGCGACGCCGCCTGCCCTCCTACCCACGGTCCGCTGCCGCATGCAGCTACGGTGAGAGGAGTAGCGACAGGGTCGAGGTCCTTCATGCGTTCCGGGATGGAGGCCATGATTTCGTCGAGGTCGTTGCTGCCTCCTACACTCAGGGTGTGTCGCCGAGATCGAGGCGAGCATGAGGAGCTGTGGCCACCGCCATGGTCACCCCATCGCAGGGGATGGAGCACGCCGTCGGCCTACAGCTTGTGGAGATCACTGTTGCTCTTCAGGTCGCGTGGTGACCGGATCTTGCCGATGTGTCCCTCCCCAACGACCTCCTCTTCGCCCGGTTGGCCGACATGGATCTCTCCATTGCTGCCCTCAACTTCTCTGCCTCGAGCTCGACGGTCAGCCACCATGGATCCCCCAGCTGGAGGGTCACGTGAACCAGCCGTCCTCCCATGCTGCAGCGGCGAGAAGGTGACATGGCTCTCCGTACACGAAGAGTGGAGTTCAGTCAAGTACTTATATACTTGGCCTCTACTGCTGATCCATGTACATGGAGAAGAACAGACAACCGCTCATTCATGCTTCGTTCCACTCCTTTGCACTACATTACTGGAGGTGACATTTTCCTATGTCTCTATGTTGTAACAAGCCTGCTGCTTGCATAGTTAATGGATTTTTTATTTAAATTTATCGCTGCTTAGTGCTTTGTTGGAATTGTTCACCCAAGATTCTTATATATAGTATGAGCGTATGTAGGCATACTTAGCTTTGCTATTCCATTTTTTCTGGCGCATAGAAATAAGAGTATTGTCCAGGTTAGGTATTCAATTGAGTATGGTATTTGGATTGCTATCAGAATGTCTTTTCTATGCATGTGATTTCTCACATCTGGTTATAATATTTGTGAAGACGTGCATTGCACGTGCACTTGGAAGCGGGCCCGTGGCCCGCGCTGGACGGTGCCGACGCCGACCCGAGCCACCTCGTTCGCGTATTCTTGGAGCTGTGGCTGGTCGATTTACATGAAATTAATTCCCTCAGTTCTGGTGGCAAATATAATACATATAATCCATATTGTTATGCACTAGCGTGTATGTGTGAAATAGATGGATTATGGTCCCGTACCCAATAAGATGGATATGTGTGTGTGTGTTAGAGAGAGAGGGAGAGGGGGATAGAGAGTGAGGAAAAGGGAGGGAGAGTGTGTGTCTGTCTGTGTGAGAGGATTTGATGGTAAAAAAGATCGCCAATGTCGTAATATTGAACTCTTAAAGTTAATGTGGCCCCGTTGCAACGCACGGGTGTTCTTCTAGTTGTAATGTAATTAACCATCTGGCTAATATTTTGTATTAATGATTTGATTTTCAAATGGATTCGGTGCTAGTTTTTCAACTTGTTTTTGCATTAATGGCTATATGATTTATTCGGTGTGAACAATTTTCTACTTAATTCATTAATTGTCTTATTAACTAGAAAATTAGCCACTTCTAATTATCTGTAGGCCTAATTAACAATCTTTATATTCATGAATCGATTTTCAAATTGATTCAATGCAAAAATATTCCTATTTAACATGATCTAATTAATTGCACATTTAATCATCTAATTAATTACATTAATGGCTTGATTTTTAAATTGATTCGCACTCTGTGTCTATATTTTTGCATTAGTGGTTGTGTGCGGACGACTATGTACAGATTCACCTGTAATACTCCCTCCGTTCCTAAATGTAACTCTTTTTAGAGATTTTAATACGGACTACATACGGATGTATATAGACATATTTTAGAGTGTATATTCACTCATTTTGCTCTATATGTAGTCCGCATTAGAATCTCTAAAAGGATGTATATTTAGCAAGGGAGGGAGTAGTAGAGATGCATATATATGTTGAGGCCACAGATTGCAATTAAGCTGTAACATGGTGAGAAGCCAGCACCGAACCAACGAGTGAAACAATGGAAATAAGCCTGGTGCTGATCGTTGTTGTGTTGTGCTCCAGTGCTGCTACCCTAGTTACTTGTAGTAGCGCGGGGTTCCACATGGAGCTCACCCATGTTGATGGCAAAGGGAGCTACACCACGGCGGAGCGCGTGCAGCGCGCCATGGCCAGCAGCCGGCAGCGCCTGGCGTCCTTTGCTGACGTGAGCATGCCCGTCCACTGGAACACCAGCCAGTACATCGCTGAGTACCTGATCGGCAACCCACCGCAGCGCGCGGAGGCCATCGTCGACACAGGCAGTGACCTCATCTGGACGCAGTGCTCCACCTGCAGCCTCAAAGGATCTTGCGTCAAGCAGGGCCTGCCCTACTATAATGCGTCCAACTCAGACAGCTTCCATCCCGTGGCATGCAACGACACCTTGTGCTTGGCCAACCTCGAGCACTCCTGTGCCAGGGGCGGCAGCTGTGCTTTCGGGGCCTTCTATGGTGCCGGCGTCGCCAGAGGGTCCATTGGCACTGAGGTCTTCGCCTTCCAAAACAGCACGGCTAGGCTCACGTTCGGCTGCGTCGACTCGCTGATGATCACTCCGGGGTCCCTCCACGGAGCGTCCGGTCTCATCGGCCTTGTCCGCGGCCCCCTGTCGCTCATCTCTCAGGTGGGCGCCAAAAAGTTCTCTTACTGTCACACCCCCTATCTCCGCAGCAACGCCACCGCCGGTGCCAGCAGCCATCTTTTTGCCGGTGCCTCGGCGAGCCTTAGCGGCGGCAGCCCTGTGATGTCCATGTCTTTCGTACAAGTCCCAAAAAAGTACCCATTCTACTATGTCCCACTCATGGGGATAAGCGTGGGACACACAAGACTGTCCATCCCACCGACGGTGTTTGCTCTGAAACAAAACGGCAGCGGCGGGGTCATTATCGACTCAGGCAATCCCACTACGGCTCTGGCCCATGGGGCCTACTGGCCCCTAAGCAAGGAGCTCCGGAGGCAGCTGAACGGGAGCCTCGTGTCGCCACCCGAAAACAGTGGAATGGACCTGTGTGTGGCGGTGGCACACGAAAAGACAGTGCCATCCATGGTGTTCCACTTCAGTGGCGGCGCGGACATGGTGCTGCCGCCGGAGAACTACTGGGTGCCGCTGGACAATTCCACGTCATGCATGGTGATGCATACATCCAACGGCATGAGCGTCATCGGCAACTTCCAGTTGCAGAACATGCACCTGCTCTACGACCTTGCCAAGGACGAGCTATCTTTCCAAACAGCCGACTGCAGTTCACTGTGATCACACGTCCGTTCTCCGGGAACTCATAGCTCGCGTGGCTAACAGGGATGGACAAATTTCTTATGACCGCTTGTTTCAAGCTATTACCCTGTCGCTTAATAAAAATTGAAGCTAGCTCAATTAGTACAACGTTTGGACCTGTTGGTGATAGATTCAATCCTTACATCGTTGGTTTTTTTTAGGGATTACGTCGTCGGTTCTAATCAGACAGGATCCCGGAATTCTTTTTTTTTCTTTCTGCTAATGGAGCAGGCCCAGCAGCTCCACCATAGGCTAGGGCGAACACAGGGTAATCCAAAAGCCCAGACAGATTAGAAAATCAATAATTAAGAAGTACTCTTTACAAAGGTCACTCTTATGGAAGCTACTAGTTGACGAGCGCTCCTTCGGAAGCCTCACAATGATTAGCATCACTTGGCGCACTCTCAGCCGCCCACCACGTGTCGCGCTATGGACGCTCAATCCGGATTTTTTTTTCACACGCGTTTTCGGCCTTTGAAAAGGTTTTTTGGACGTTTCAATTTTCCACCAAGCTTCCTTAGCTTTTGGACCAAAAAATCACAAAAAATATATTTTTGCCCACAAAAACACGTTTCATTTTTCTTTCTTTCACGAGAGTTACGGTTTTGCTTCCGAGGCACAGTTTTGCTTTCGCCAGAGTCACGGCCGTGCCTCTTGGAAACAGAAAAAAATGCATTTTCTATTTTTTCCTTCCGCGAGAGGCACGGTTGTGCTTTCGCGAGAGTCATGGCCGTGCCTCTCGGAAATGAAAAAAACGTTTTCTGTTTTTTCTTTCGGCGAGAGACACGGTTTTGCTTCCACGAGCGGCACGTTTGTGCTTTCGCAAGAGTCACGGCCATGCCTCTCGGAAACAAAGAAACACATTTTGCATTTTTTTACCTACTGCAAGAGGCACGTTTGTGCTTTTAGCGGGAGGCACGGCCCTCCCTCTCGGAACCGAGAAAAAAAATGCGTTTTCTATTTTGTTTTCTTCCGCGAGAGGCACGGTTTTGCTTCCGCGAGAGTCACGGTTTGAAAGAACTCCCTCCCGCCGAAATCATAAGTGGCGCGCTGCATGTGCACCACTTGTCGCAACCTGGGAGTTTTTCCTTTTTTCGTAGATCTGTTTATTCAAAATGTTTTATCTCTTAAACAGTGCGTCCAAATCTCGAACCGCTTTCGCCATTGGATTCCTCGCGTCGAGATCTTCAAAACTAGATCTCATGTTGATAGGTTTTGTTGAACTTTTTTTTCACGAAAAAACCGAACAAAAAACTGACGAAAAACCAAACCGGAAACACGGGTTTTTTTTCCATTCCGAAAGAGGCACGCCCGTGCCTCTGACGAAAGCACAACCGTGCCTCTGGCGGAAGCAAAACCGTGCCTCTCGCGAAAAAGAACAGAAAATGCATTTTTTTTCCTTTCCGAAAGAGGCATGCCCGTGCCTCTCGAGAAAGCACAACCATGCCTCTGGCGGAAGCAAAACCGTGCCTCTCGCGAAAAAAAACAGAAAACAAGTTTTTTCCCTTCCCGAAAGAGGCACGCCCGTGCCTCTCGCGAAAGCAAAACCGTGCCACTGGCGGAAGCAAAACCGTGCCTCTCGCGAAAGAAGAAAAAAAAACAGAAAATACGTTTCTTTTTCCTTTCCGAAAGAGGCACGCCTGTGCCTCTCGCGAAAGCACAACCGTGCCTCTAGCGGAAGCAAAACCGTGCCTCTCGCGAAAGAAGAAAAAAACAGAAAACACATTTTTCCCCTTTCCGAAAAAGGCACGCCCGTGCCTTTCGCGAAAGCACAACCGTGCTTCTGGCGGAATCAAAATCGTGCCTCTGGCGAAAAAAATGCATTTTTTTGCGCAATTTTTTTTTTCAAATTTTTTTGGGTCGAAAAGCTAGGGAAGACCGGTAGAAAACCAAAACGAAAAAAACCTTTTAAAAAGCCAAAAACGCGTGCGTAAAAATAAAAAACAAAATTCGGAGGGAGCGCCCAGAGCGTGACACGTGGCGAATGGCTGTGAGCGCGCCAAATGGCGCTGATCGTTGCGAGGCTCCCGAAGGAGCGCTCGTTAATTAGTTGCTCCCCCTCCCGCACGCTAAAAATACGATTGCTAACCAGCCGAGCTAGACATCTCTACTCGAAATCATTAATTAAGGAGTACTCCTTGCGGAGATCACTCCAACTTCCCCAGGTTGCGACAAGTGGCGTGCTACATGTGCGCCACTTGTCGCAACATGGGAGTTTTCCCTTTTTTCGTAGATCCGTTTATTCAAAATGTTTTATCTCTTAAACCGTGCGTCCAAATCTTGAACCGCTTTTGCCATTGGATTCCTCGCGTCGAGTTCTTCAAAACTAGATCCCATTTTGACAGGTTTTGACGAACTTTTTTTTCATGAAAAAACCGGACGAAAAACACCAACGAAAAAACCGAACCGGAAACACGGGTTTTATTCCCTTTTGGAAAGAGGCACGCCCATGCCTCTGACGAAAGCACAATCGTGCCTCTGGCGGAAGCAAAACCGTGCCTCTCGCAAAAGAAAAAAACAGAAAACATGTTTTTTTTCCTTTTCCGAAAGAGGCACGCCCGTGCCTCACGCGAAAGCACAACCGTGCCTCTGGCGGAAGCAAAACGTGCCTCTCGTGAAAAAAAAACAGAAAACACGTTTTTTTCCCTTTCCGAAAGAGGCACGCCCGTGCCTCTCGCGAAAGCACAACCGTGCCTCTGGCG